ACCCAGAATTATAAGCATTATTTCACTAAGTGAAATAAGCCAAATACAAAAGAACAAATACTGAAAGATTCCTTTCTATATGAGATATTTACATTAGACAAATTCAGAGAGACAGAGGTAGGTTAGCGCCTACAAGGGGCCAGAGTAAGAGAGGAATGGGGAGTTATTGCTTAACGGCTGCAGAGTTTCTGTTTAGAGTGATGAAAACGTTGTAGAAATAGTGGTGATGGTTGCATAACATTTGTGAATATATTTAGTGCCTATGAAAAACAGTTAAATGGCAAATTTTAGGACACACAGATTTTACCAAAATAAAAAAGTATATAAAAAAAATAAAGAAAAGGAACTGTGGCAAGTAAGGCCACACCCATACTTGTTGGTGTGAAGAAGGGCCAGAATCAGGGCTAGTTAGGGTCTTAATCAGAAAAGATTAAGGTATGTGGGCAGCTTGGATTGAGGTCTATACTCTTTTGCCACTGTTGTTTTTGGGGGGATGTAATGCATAAAACCTCAAAGAATCACAAAATGCATAGGAAGGTTTCTCAACTTGCCCCACCCTGCCTCAAAGAAACCAGCCCAATTTGGTGAGTAAAGACAGTCACCCCCTGTTCTCATGGTCCCTCCTAACCCCAGCACTCATCTAGGGTACCTCCTCCTGATGTGACAAATAAAACCGCCTCACGTTTATTGGTCTCAGTGCTTCTACCTACAAATTAGCCCTCCTTCTTCCTTCTTCTCAAGGTTGTCATCAACAGCAGATAAGATAAGCCAGGCAGGTGGTATCATTAACCACGTTAAATCTGAAAACACTGTTGCCTTTAATAAAGAAATTAAAACTGCCAGAGCTACTGAGTAAAACAGGAGCACCACCGACGTCCCATCTCTCTTTCCTTCTTTCCTTTTCTTTATAACACCATCTCCATCTATCACGAGATATATTTTGCTTGACCGTGTGTTCCCCCAGCTAAATGGAAGCTGCCTGAGGCACAGTGTGTTTGGTTCACTGTGGCACCTCCAGCGTCTGAATGACTGGTGCACAGTGCGTGCTCCGTAGACATGTGCTGAACGAATGGAGTCCTAGCTCTAATAACCCGTGTTTAAACAAACCAAACCACATTTCATCGCCTACCAATGCTGCACCATTGACACCACTGTGTGGAAACTGAAGAATCAACTAAAAATTCTAACTTCCCTTTATAAGCAGGAAAAGGCCTATATGAGTGGAATAATCAAGAGCTCCTAGCTAGACCTTCCAAAAAAGGACGTTCAATGATGACATGATCTTATATGCAGAAAACCCTAAAGAGTCCACCAAAACAGACAAACAACCCACTCAGGTAAAAACAAACAAGAATAATAATAAAAAAAAAAAAAACTCAGGAAAAATAACAAATTCAGAAAAGTTCCAGGATACAAAATCAACTGATGAAAATCAGCAGCACTTCTGGCAATGAGCAATCTGAAAGGAATTTAAGACAACAATCCCATTTACAACAGCATGAGAAAGAATAAAATACTGAGGAACACCAATACCAATTTACCAACAAGGCTGAAGACTTGTACAGTATAAACTAGAGAGTACTGCTGAGAGGAATTAAAGACTTAAATAAACATAAAGACATCCCATGCTCATGAACTGGAAGACAATACTGTTAGGATGGCTGCTGCTGCTAAGTCGCTTGAGTCATGCGACCCCATAGACAGCAGCCCACCAGACTCCCCCATCCCCGGGATTCTCCAGGCAAGAATACTGGAGTGGGTTGCCGTTTCCTTCTCCAATGTTAGGATGGCAATACACCTCAAAATGATCTACAGATTCAGGGCATTTCATATCAAGATCTCAATGGTGCTTTTGCACAAACAGAAAAAATAAAAGTAAATTCATATGGAATCTCAAGGAATCCCAAATAGCCAAAAGAATCTTGAAAGAGAAAGTTGGAGGACTCATTCTTCTTGATTTCAAAACTTACTACAAAGCTACAGTAATCAAAACAATGTGATACAGGCCTAAAGACAAACAACAGACCAATGTGACAGGGGAGAGAGGCCAGAAATAAACCCTTGCATACATGGTTAAATGATTTTCAACAAGGGTACAAAGAACATTCAGTAGAGAAAGGACAGTCTTTTCAACAAATGGTACTGGGAAAGTAGGACCTTCACATGCAAAAGAATGTACATGATACCATATACAAATATTAACTTGAAATGGATCAAAGACCTAATTGAAAGAGCTAAAACTATAAAACTCTTAGGAAAACACACAAGGAAAAGCTTCATGATCTTCTATTTGACAAGGGTTCATTAGGTGCAATACCAAAAGCAGCCTCAACAACAGAAAAAGAAAAAGATAAAATGACCATCAAAATTTAAAACTTTGTGCATCAAAAGACATTATCAGAAAGTAAAAATACAACCTTAGGAGTGGGAGAAAATATCACCTGTCTGATACAGACTTAATATCCAGAACACATGAAGAACTCCTACAACTCAACAACTACAGTCAAAACCCAATTAAAAAATGAACAAAGCAATAGCAAAAAGAAAAAAAATATGGGGAAAGGATTGAATAAACACGTCTCAAAAAAAAAAAACCACACAAATGGCCAACAGGCACATGAGAAGATGTTCAATATCACTAATCATCAGAGAAATGCAAATCAAAACTACAACCACAATTAGTATGTATATAATCAACAAAACATAAAATAGCAGGTATTGGCAAGGACGTGGGGAAACTGGAATCCTTAAGCACTGCCGTTGGGAATGTAATATGATGTGGCTGCTACGGAAAACACAGCGGTTCCTCAAAAAATTAAACACAGAATTACTGTAGGATCCCCAAATTCTACTGGGTATAAATGCAAAAGAACTGAAAACAGGGACCCAAATAGATATTTGTATACCCACTACATACTTACAACAGCTAAAACTTAGGAGCAATCCAACTGCCCGCTAATAGAGCCTGACACAAGCTACAACATGGATGGACCCTGACAACATTATGCTGAATGAATAAGCCACTGACAGACAGACAAGTACCACATGATTCTACTTATATGATACCCAGCATAGTCAAGAAACAGAAAGAATGGTGGTTGTCAGGAGCTGGGGAGACAGGGGAAAGAGGCTTATTGTTTAATGGGCACATATTTCCACTTGGGATGATGAAAAAGTGCTGGAATTAGTGGTATAGTTATAGAACATTGTGACTGTCCTTAATGACACTGATTTGTACACTTAAGATGGTAAATTTGGTGTTTATGTATATTATACACAATTTTTTTTTAAGTAAAGGGGAAAAAAATAGGTTCATATTTTCAGCCTATTGAGAGAATCCCTCTTAAAAGCCGAGTTTCTGACTTCCATGGTGGCTCAGTGGTAAAGAATCTGCTTGCCAGTGCCAAAGACAAGGGTTTGCGCTCTGATCTGGGAAGATCCCACACACATGCCGCGGAGCAACTTAAGCCTGGGTACAACTATTGTGCCTGTATCCCAGAGCTCCACAACACGAGAAGCCCCCTCAACGAGAAGCCCCGTGCACCACAAGTAGAGTAGCTCCTGCTCGCTGCAGCTAGAGATAACCCTGCTCAGCAACAAAGACCCAGCACAGCAAAATAAATATATACTTTTTAAAAAGGCCAGTTTTCTGATAGCCTGGGCCTCCTTCCCATTGTAAGGGACACTGAGAATGCTGTTTTATTCTTTGTATTCTGCCCTCAAACCCAATTCCAATCATCTGGGCCCTAAATCCAAGTCAACAGCTCCGGTCGACTAGCTACTGTTTATAAGGTTGAGGTCGTGAGCATCCCTGGGCCACGCAGTTTGCAGAGATGACTGTCTGACAGGGATGAAAAGTTGCCAATAAAAACAGAAGGCAATTCTGCTGGCTTTCACTCTCTATTACTTCCCCTTCCTCTTTTCTAGCAGGACATCAGAGAGCCATGCAGAAAAGTAACAAACCAAACAGACCTGCCTGCCTTTTATTTTTCAGTTGGAAAATGGCCTCCCTGTTTTCCCCCAATCCTTTGCAGGTCTAGATATTTAACATCCTTTGTATTTTGCGGACTTGAGGACAAAGTTTTTGCCCATCCAAACACAGCAGAATGAACAACGTTCATCCTCTGTACTCCAGTCTCCAGGGCTCCTGCATATAGATAATCTAACAGAGTATCCTGTTAGATAGCAAAATAACCCAGTGAAAACGAACGTTTAGGGGTTGTCATCCTCCACTGGAGGCATGAAGAAACCCAGGCTCACGGAGATGAAGCAATTTGTCCCACATCCCACAACCCCAAGTGACAGGTCCAGGGTTCGCACAGAAGCAGTGAGTCTCAGAGTTCTCCTTCCCCTTGATTACTTCCGAAAGATGAACAAAGTAGAAACAGAATCAGGCCATTTTGGTGTCAAACAAGACCAAGGAAAAACGCTTCCAAGTCTGGTAACCAGTAGGACTAGAAGGTCCAGCCCCAAAGAAGAGCTTGGTAAACAACTAAGCGACCGCCTCTTTCCCCGAAGTCTACCCTAATCTAGAAATGGATCTTTCTTGTTGGGTTTCTGTACTCAAGGCTTTCAGCTGGGCGCCCAGAGTACAGTCCGTACTGCGTTCTCTGAGCGCTCTGACACACAGGCCGGATGATCATAGGAAAACGGAAGATTCGCGTGCTGAGACGCGAACAAACCACGCCTAAATCAACGACCACGCGAAACTCGTAGTGGCCCTGGAGATCCATACGGAAAACCCAGGAGCCAAAGGGACTGCGGAGTGACGACCACTGCCCTACCCGTCGCTACGCATGCGCCACAGCACCAGCACTGGACTGCAACAGCTCTAGCAGAGCCACACTCACTGGGCAGGCACAGACGTAGTGCGCATGCTCCTACAGCGCGCATGCGTGACCTCGGCGTTGCCTTTTCCCAGCAGCCCCCTGCCCTCTCGTCGCTATGGCGGATCCAAACGTTGGCTACCTCAGCCACGGCCCTCACAGGGCATTCCTCACCTTGCGTCCGGTTTTCTCCCGTAGGGCCTTCAGCCGTTCCTTTCGCCGCAACGCCTCTTCCTCTAATCGGCCCACACCGGCCGCAGTCGCCGCCATCTTGCCCACAGACAACCCCCCCCCCCAACCTTCTCTCGCGCCTCAGCGCGCAGGCCCAAGGTGTAGATGAGCCTCTCACGGCCAATCCAAGGTCGTGAATGGGAAAGCAGGAAGACCTGAAAGCCAACCAATGAACCCGCCTTCTTCCTCCCTCGCGCCTCTCCGAACTCTTCGGGGTCGGTAAAGAAGGCTCCAAGGCTCGATTCGTCCAATGCCAACTAGGAAAAAAGCGGCAAGAGCAGCCAGACCTGAGTGAAGGAGGATAGAGCGCATCGATCTCTGGTTTTTACCTAGGCGCCGCTTTGCAATTCGCTGACCCATCCTTTTTTTCTGAGTAAACTCCGGGAGTTGGTGATGGACAGGGAGGCGTGCTGCAGTCCATGGGGTCGCAAAGAGTCGGACACGACTGAGCGACTGAACTGACCCATCTTTGTCCACTTCTGATTCTTCAAGGCTCGAATGCCTTCAGGAAGCTTTCCCTGACTCTCTCTATTCCGACCGCAGATTAACTGCCTTTCCTTTCCTCTTAAGATACCAGTGGCTTCCTTGATGCACTTGTTCATGGGCCAGTGGGCCCATCTCTGGCCGCTCTCAGCTCAGACAGAACCTGAGCAGAGCAGGGCTTGGCTGAATGACCATTTTCTTCTGGGTTCAAGGATGCTCCCCTCCCACCTCGAACTCCCTCATGGGGTGGCAGAGTACCCAGAGCCAGACTACCTAACCTAAAGAGGAGCAAACCCCAACTTGGGCCCAGGGGCTCCCAAGAGACCATCCTGAGTTTAGTTCCTGAGAACTAAGCTGACAGTTGGTGTGGCTTTGGCCAATAGGTGCACGCTCCGCAGCTGGAGCTGCCACGGTATCCTTTCCCAAGTTAATTAGCATGCCTGACAACAGACAGACCTCTTTGGCTGAAGTCAGTATCTTCTGATAGCCTATCCAGGTCCCCCCAAACACACACCCCCTGGTGACTTGTCTTAACAAGACTGTTCCCTGCTTGCGGCCTCCCTTCCCAGTCTGACACAGGTGGACACCCACTCCTTCCTTCCCAGTTCCCAACAGAGATCTCCAGGGCCACACAACCCTATTTAGCCTGTCCCCACAAATGACCCTCTTGACCTCTGTAACCTGGGCCTTTTGGTGCCCTCTCCCTTGCACTGTGTGGGGTGCCCTTCCAGGTATCCAGGTGATACACAATACAAAGGTAGTCAGTGTTCAGGAAATGTCAGAAGTAGGATGGATGGGCCAGGAAAAAAGGCCAGAGTGGAGGAGATGCCCATGAAGCCATGAGGACAGAATAGGATGGGTATGGAGACAGTCTGTCTCCTCTTGGCCACCCAGGGTCTAGTGGGCTCCAGACTAGTCAATTCCTCCAATTGATGGTAACTCTCTGGGTCCTGCAACCCCACCCCCACCCCCCACAGCCCCAGTAGAGGACCTTACCCTTGGCCAACAACAAGGGCCCTCCTCACTTCTCAGGGGGCTAGGGGTGGGGGAAGTAGGGAAAGAAAGAGGCCCAGGGGTGATGGTGGCACTGCTTCTGAAAACTGTCCGGCATTCTGTCCCTGCTCATGCTCCCCAAATGGTCCTCATTTGGCCCATCTGGGCTTCAGTTTCTCTGCCTGTAAAACAGAGGCATGAAGCACCCTTTAGCCTTTATCCTCTTGAAGTTAAAGAAAACAAAATATGTGAACCAAGTGCTGAACGCTGGAGTGGAGGCTGCCTGCACCTGGAGCATCTAGGAAGGCTTCCTGAAGGAGGGGATCCAGGCGAGGTGAAGACTACTGCTAAACAGCTGGAGGAAACTGCTCGTCCAGAGCTATTTGAGTTTTGTCCTACTGTTTTCTTATCCCCTCGCCCCACTCACTCCACACTCCCGTCACACTATCCTGCTCCACTAACAATAGGGTAAAAAAAAAAGGTGGCACTTCAGTCTCCGCATAAAGCACTTAGACCAGCACCTGGCCCGTGGTAAGTTCTACAAGTGGTCGTCACGGTTATTGTCCTCACAACTTGTTGAAGGACACTGCCCATCTACACGCGGCCCGCAGTCCCTTCCCCCAAGCCCGCGAGCCTGTCCCTTGCACAAATGGTGGCCGTTCCAGCTAGACGGGCTGCGTCTCGGTCCGGTCTAGACCTGGGGCAAGTCTAGAATTCCAGACCCCGACCCGAGTCCGGAAGGCTCAGATTGCCCTACCCTCGGCACTGGTAGGGCGCGGATTGGGGGAGGGGGGCGGGGCCGCTGGGCGCCCTCCAGGCCGCCCTGACCTCAGGCTCCTCCTCCCGCCGGGCTCCCCGCCCTCTGCTCGGTCCCGGGAGGGGCGGGGCGGTGGTGGCAGCCGCCTAAGTGCAGGAAGCCGGGCGGCGGCCGACCTGGAGGAGGAGCGCGGCAGGGGCCAGTACTACTTCCCCCAGTAGTACCGCGCCGCTCCGCCCTGGAGTGACGCCCTCCGCCCATGGGCCTGGCCGAGGGCAACCGGCGGGCGGCGCGGAGGAGGAGGCGGTGGCGGCAGGTGGCGTGCAGTAGCGCCGGAGCCCGATCGGGCCATGGCCGCCTCGGAGCGGCTCTACGAGTTGTGGCTGCTCTACTACGCGCAGGTGAGCCCGCCCCGCCCCGCGCCCGCCGGGCCCCCAGCTCCGCGCGCCCGGCGCCTGCTGCACCTGCCCCCGGCGCAACCTGGGCCGGGTATCTCGCGCCAGCCGGGGTTGCTCCGGCTGCGCACGCACGTGTGCGCCCCCGGCCCGCCGGCGCCTCGGGCGCTTACACCTGGGGGTCGGTCCTTTCGGGCGCGCGCCACACTGGAGCCTCTCGGGTGCGGACTGGGTAGCATCGGTTGCGCAGGAGGAGAGGGGCCTGGACCAAGCCGGCCTTTACCTCATTTACAGATGGGGAAACTGAGGCCCCGGCGGGGGCGGGAAAGAGACTGGCCGGGTTGGGAGGCTTTCTTTGCATTTGGGCTTGCTCCTCCTGACGGCTGCTCCCAGTTGGGTAGTCTTGGTCGACGGGTCTGAGTGGGCTGGGTAGGAGGTCCCTACTTCGGTCTTGGGCAACTCATCAGATCCGCTGCAGCGAACTGACCGTGGTGAGTTCCTGACCCCAGGCAGCCCCACCCCAACCCCGGGCGGGGAGGAGGGTGTGGGTTACCGGGGGTCCAGCCCAAAGAAAAGATTCTCTCTGGATGCTGAGGGTGGAAACAGGGAATGCAGACAAACTGGGAGGAATGTTTGAAAGGGATGGAGGGATACCATTTTCTCCTGAGATTCTCGTCCTGCCTTATTGACTACCTTAAGTGGCCTCAAGGTGATGGGAGCAACCCAGGTGTCCCCCAAACTGTATCGAACACATAGGGCCCCACTTTCCTTCTGTATCCACAGCAGAGAGAGAACCCAGGGCAACACTCCTCTGCCCTTCACCCAGCACCAACCTTCCTCCCTGCACCTGCCTGGCATCACACTCCTGGCTCAGGCACACCTTGAGCACAATGGACTATTGTGTGCTCCTGATCTGGGCACTGGGGGGAAGTTCATGCTCATATCAGCTGGCCCTGTGAGAAGAGGCTAGCCCACTGTCTCTCGGGACTGCAGGCTAGGTCTGGGGCCCCAGGGACCAGGAATCCAGGCCACAAAGGCCATAGCTTCTTGAGCCCGCTCGGGTGGTGAGAAATCCAGGCATCTGGCAGGAGGCAGTGAATGCAGTAGAGTTCATCTTTCGTGTGATTCAGGGCATGCATGCTGTTTACACCCTAAGCTTCTGTTTCCATATCTGTAAATTTGGCACAGTCCTGGCCTGGAGTGGCCTAGACTCTGCAGAGGGGTAGCCAGTATGACTGGGGTAGCCAGTATGACTGGTCCAGGCCAGAGAAGCTTCCTGCTTCCCTGCTTGATTGGATCCCGTTCCCCCAGCTTCTCTGTCTCTGTCTCCAAAGACTGGCCCTTGTGATGGAGAAAAGCTTCAGGAGGAGACTTGCACTGGTCCTTATGCTTCTCATTGCCTTCGTGGTTGTGGGCAGGTTCTTGGTCTTCACTTCCTTCAGTTGTGACCAGGTGAAGGGGGGCTTGGACAAGGTGATGCGTCTGAGGGATGTTAATTGTGCTTCTGATTGTTCCTGTGGTCACGGGCGGGTTCTTGGTCGTGAGTTTCTTCCCCTGTGATCAGGTGAAGGGCTTGAACGAGGTGATGAGTCTGAGGGCTGTTAATGGTGGGTCTTCTGGCAGGGTGGCATGCTGCTGGGGGAGGGTGTCTTGGTTTCTCAGAACTGTACCTCCAACACAGGTGCCTCCTGCTGCCCCTTCTAGCTGAACTCTGCAAGCAGTCAGTCCCTCACAGGTGTTCAGCGTTCACCTGTGCTGAGTCCCTTCTCCCCCCCCACTCCTCACCTCACTGGGGAGGTGTGGGGTACAGGCTAGCTGATGGTAGCCTTGGAAGCCTGGGCAGGCAGGGGACAGCCTGAGGCCAGGCAAACAAATCCAGGATATGAGTGTGAACCCCAGAGCCGGGAGGGGCCAGGTTTCCTGGGGAGAGGAAGCTCCAGCCGGCCTCCCAGCGCGGCCTTCCTGCCGGCTTGGTCCTGCTCCTGCTCCCGGAACACGGTCTCCACCCTCTGCACTGAGCTCCCAGGGAGTGGTTGGAGTGGTTGGTGGCTGTCCGCGTCAGAGCCCCGCCAGGACCTATTGTGTGTGTGCTCAGGGGAGGGGAAGATAGGTATGGGGTTGAACTGATAGAGGCTATTAAGAAACCCTGAGTTGGCCAGCCACCCAGCCAGTAGGTCCCCCAATACTTTCACCCCTCCCTTCAGCAGTGAGAGCTGACATCAGCTGGCAAACCTGTTTCCCCAGTTGTGGGTTTGGGCCCGCCCAGGGAGCACCCCCATTTCTGCCCTTCCTTTCCCCTCACAGACCCCAGATTCAGCCCCACTCACCCCATACCTCTGGAGGCCACGAGTGGGTGAGGGGGCTGTGGGTGGCTACTGAAGGAGGACCAGAGTGCACCCTAAACATCACTCGGTCTGAGCCTCCCAGGGCCTTAGTGGGGAAACCAAGGTAGGGTTGTACCAAGGTTGTCCAGCAGAGCTCCAGCCCAGCCTCCATCCTGCGTTCTTTTACCCAGGAAAGGTCTAGTCCTGTGGGCAGGAGAACTCAGGTGGGTCTGCACCCTGTTTCCTCTGCCTGGAGCCCTCGCCCTCCGGTCTGAGGAGGCCTTCCTCCCCTGTCCGCCCCCCCACCCCGACCGAGCTGGACCTCAGCCCAGGCATGTCCTCGTGTGCACCCTCGTTGTGCTTGTTACTCCACGGTTTCACCTCACATTTAGTAGGTGCTCCCGGGGTATTAGCTGAATACCTGGATGGAGGTGTTAGGCCCCAGAGCAGTGACTGGTCAGAGATGTGGTGCCAGTGACGGAGTTTGGGCCTTGAGATCTGAGGGCGGAGGACAGGGAGGATCAGGCACATGGCTGTGGGAACTATGAGAGGCCGGATGTCAGGAGTGAGAGGGGTGGCAGCACACCCAGAGGACCCCCCAGCAGGGCTTCCCCAGTGAGGGCCTAGGAGGCGGGTGCAAGGAGAAGGGACTGGGGACAGCACCCAAAGGCCAGCAATTGGTGTGTAAAGGTGATGCCAAGTGTGCAGATGGGCGGCCTCCTTGCAGCTGGAGCAGTGGTGTTGCTCAGTAGCCTCCAGTGAAAGGGAGCACTGGGGTGCGTGAGAGCTGAGGGGCACTCGGGGACCCAAAGGTCAGGACAGATGTTGAGGGTGCAGGTGCGGAGCCCAGGCTGAACTCCATTTATGTCATTGAGGACACGGGGCTCCAGGGAGGTCAGGTGAGAACTCCAGCTGACCTTGCTTTGCCCACCCCTCCTGGTCCCTCACCCTGACCAATGAGCTC